CTATTCTACTTGTATTATTAATTATCCTTTTCAGATGTTCTGTTAGGGCCACTCTGTTCAGGGAAACACTAAAAATTGGGAGATGAAGAAGTGTGATAAAGAAAATAAAGTTTAATTATGAATGAGATGAAAGAGTTGGGATAGTCAAAAACCACAAACAAGTAGCAGCCACTGGTGATAGACTGAAAGAGGATATACAAAACTTTCTGGATCCCACACTTTTATGGAATAAATGCTAAGGTCAATGCCCCTGCCAGTGCCCTAAAACTATTAAAACATTCAGAGGTATCTCCATTCATTTCCAATGGGGTTGAAATTAGATGGGTTATAGCCTTAGACTGAATACTATTTTATTTCCCTAAGAATGTGTAAATAAGTGTAATATGCATCAAGTGAAAAATGCTTAGCATGGGCTCTACAAAGCAGCACAATAGACTTCTATTCTTTGGTTTCTATATGCTCTACTGGGCACATCCAGCCCGTGAATGGTAAGTTCCCAACATTCTCTGCAATTCTCATACAAGGGATCTGAGCTTCTTATCTACTTCATAATAAATAAAGCTAATGATACTCACAATGTTCACTGCATAGGATATAAAGCAAAATAGTCACAAATGTGAGCAATAACTTTTCAGCTTGTTGACAAAACTAGTCACTAAAATAAGCTAAAGCCAAATGCCATGAATCATATCAGTTCCATTAAACATTTCTGAGATACTCAGAGTTTTGAGGGTATTCATGAAAACTATTGACTTAGGATGGAGACGCAATACATGTTATTAATCTTTTCATTTGTATGCAGTTATCTACTTCTCAAACAATACTAATAACAAATTGCACCAAAATGCAAACCTATCTATACCAGAAGATTCTCCTCCTATTGGCAAAATAAACAAGACATCTGTAATAAAACCATGTAGAAAGCTACATTTCTTAACAAATCCATTTCCTAATAAAACACCATCTGCAAGCAACCCTCAGTTTCCACTTGTTATATAAATAGGTCTTTTACTGTTTTCAAATATAGTTGCCAGAAAATTTTTCTAAGCCCCTCGGTAGAAGACATCAGTCTATTTTTGGTTGCCTGGAATGATAATAAATTCTGTAATACTAAGTTTTTTACACAAAAAATTATTTGTTTAAAAAGCATTCTTCTATTTAGAAACTAGCATTTTGCAGTAAAGTTGGTTAGACATCTAGTATCCTTAGTATTGGTACAGAAATTCTAAGAATCAGGGAAATGTTTCAAGGATAGGATATAATTGAAATTTCTCCATTATACACATAAGCATAGACACATAAACATGGGTGCACACACATGCACATTTCATTTTTATAATAGTTTATGATCTCTCAATTCACAAATATAATCATACATTATTTGTATATCTTAGTATCACATCTTAGCCTTTTGGCTAAGATCAAGTGTATTTGTACATTTTAGAATACTGTGTTTCCTGATCATTCACTCCCCACTCCTCCCAAATACATTTAACTAACACATATATCAGCCTCTTGTCACTCAAACCAGGGTAAGAGTTGGGAATGCTAAAAAAAAAAATACAGTGGCTACTCTCCTGAGAAGCCTTTTTTAGTAATAAAATAATGCTACTACTCCTTAAAGGTAACTACTTTGACTAGGGACCTAGAACTCAATGATTAGAACTCTTGGTGCCAGGGACTGGGGCTTAAATGTAATGATAAGTGTTTTTTGAAAAGTTCATTAAGATTTAATAAGGTGAATTTCCAGACTTGATCAGAGTTTTAGCCACATAAATGCTATTTTGTTCAAAGCTCCATAATGTTCCACCCTATCTATACTTACACCCATGTTTTTTAATAGATTTTATTGATCATGCTATTACAGTGGTCCCATTTTTCCTCTTTTGTTCCCCTCTTCCCTGCACACCCCCTCCCACCCACATTGCCTCACCTTAGCTCATGTCCATAGGTCATACATATAAGTTAATTGGCTTCTACATTCCCTATACTATTCTTAACCTTCCCCTTCACCTATGTTTGATCTACACCTTTCTAACCTCACACTTCCTTTCCCTCTGTTTTTGGTTTTCACATTACCCTTAGAGTCTGTTTATTCTTATGACTTTAGGGTGCTAAGCTTCTCTTTACCCACCTTTTATGTGCTTCCTTGAAACCTATATTTTAAAATTAGTTCTTCCTTCAATGATCTCTTATGATGACTTTATCGCACCTGGCTCATTTTTCTACAAGGCTCTACCAAAGCCTACTTGTTCTGTGCATCACTGAACACTATGTTCAGTGTGCATATGTTGTTTCTTGGATCATCATCTCTAGAGTTGACTGCTGAGACTCTGGAAATGTAACTCTCAATGGTGTATCATAGCATTGAGCAAAAACATGAAGTCATTTCTGAATCAAGGTCAGCCATTTTGTGAATGTATAAAAGAGAGGATTACAACAGAATGGATCTCGTGGGAACTGTTACCTGTCACTCCACTAATGAGGTATGCACAAGGCTGACAGACCTATTAATGGACCATTGTTATTTCTAGACCAGTCCTGGTTGAAGGCACTGCTGTGTAAGGAGGGAACAATAGCGGATACCAGGGCAAGTGCAGAGACAAAGATGATATCCAAGCCTCTCATTATACTCCTCTTTCAAAGCCAGTTTCTTCTTGGTTTATAAGTATTACAATTCTGTATTAAGTCATCCAGTGGAAATTGGGATCTGGGCTTCCAAATGCTGTTCAGAAGAAGAGTGAAATAAGATACAGGAAGACAGAGTATAAATAAAATGTTTAATAGAGGATGGATTTTCTAGCAAATGTTTACCTTTGTTCATGTTATTTGATTAATATTATGGCTTAGAAAACGTAATCAAGTAACCATTTTTGAAACTAATTCATTTGACAAACATTCATTGAGTATTTTTTTATATGTCAGGTATTTGCTAGGCACTCAGGATACAGAGAAGAATGAGACATACCTTACTCTCAAGGAGCTCAAAGTTTAGTAGCAGAGACAGACATATAAGCAAGTATAATACAATGAAAAGGGTGCCCATCAAGGACACTGATATATATATATGTATGTATATATATATGTATATATATATATATATATGTATATATATATAACACAGAGGATGAAAGATATGATATGGATATGGATAGATATAGATATAGATAGATAGATATAGATATAGATGATGATATAGATATAGATGATATAGGTATAGATGATATAGATATAGATACAGATATAGATTAGATATAGATATATAGCACTAGATGAGCCCAGAAAAAGTGGTTTTTATTAAGATTGGGAAAATCGGGGAAGCTTTCATAAAGTGACAACTGAGTAGGCTTGAAAGAGAAACAAGACTTCACCAGGAAGACAGGGTAGAGTAGGAAAAGACACTGTATGCTGAAAAGACAGTAAGTACAAAAACAAGGAAGTACAATACATTATATAACAGGAAATTACACATAGTTCTCTAGGGCTAGGATTTCATCTGTGTATGAAGAAGTGGTAAAATATGAAGTCAGAGAGAGAATATCTTTGTATGCAGGACAAAGAACTCTGGACTTTTTTCCTGGAAGTGATGAGAAGACATTGAAGAATCCAGAACAGGGAGTGACATGACCAGATTTTCCCAGTAGATTAGCCTTTATGGAGGATGGTTTGGAAGTGAGGTAAGACTAGAGGGAGACAGACACAACAAGAAGAGCTATCACAGAAGACCAGGTGAGAGATGCTCAAGGGTACTTCTGAGGTAGTGACAGTGAAGAGGTGACAGATGGGGGAGATATTTAGGAAGAAGCTTGACAAGACATTGAATTATACTAAAAGCAAAACTGCCTCAGAAATGAAAAAAAATTAAAAACATGCATTCAGAAAATACAACCAACAGCCTAAATCTCCCTTTACTTTGTGTTCTCATCATTCTCTGAAATCACCCCACCTACTGAGTATGAACAAAGGAAGAAAAAAACAGAGGGCACATATGGTCAGACTTCTCTAATTCAGATACCACTAACTTGGAATCTCCAACAATATAGACTATCCGTGACTCTTATTAAGAATTTCAACCTACTTTCTTCTTCCATGTCTTTTTGAGCTTTTAGTCACCAGTAACAGGAATCCTGTCTAAAAGCAGTGGCTTCTTCCAGCGCTTAAGGTTAAGTAGGTAGTAGCTTACATGGTGGTATATGAGGGGCACCCAATATATGTACCACACCAAGCAGTCAGAAGGCCTGAGATCCAATCATTAGTGATTTGTTCCTTAAAGAGAGGCTTTGGTCCCTCAGGACTTCTCTTTTACAAGGCAATAATTTCTGAGATGGGTAGAGCATTTAGTCTTTCTAAACCCAATGTCATTTTGGTTGAGCATAATGTCTTTGGCTTTCACAGGAGGGCTCAAGGTAGTATAAGAGTAGTATAAGAGGGCTATATAGATACTGGTGAGAGAAGGTGATGCAAAAGGGAAGACTAAGGAGTATGGAAGATAACATAAGATCTTACCAAGGAATAGCCCTGCAAGCACTCAAGAAGCCAAGGTTATTAAAGAAGCCTTCTACTTCAGGTTCCAGCAAATCACCACTGGCACATTCTTGTATATTAAGGAACTTTTGTGTTTTATGTTTATTATATGCTATTGGCTAGTCAAGACCTATCATGACTCACAATCTTTTCATGGCCTCACATTGTTTATGACCAATTTAAATCTGCAGTACATAATACTGAAAATGTATTGTCTGGAATTACTTCATAATCCGACCTTTCATTCACTTAGAGTGACCTTCTCTTTTGTCATTCCAAATTATGAAGTTTTAACTCTATTTGCAGAGTGTTAATCAGTCAAGTCACAAGTGACAGAACATCAAAACTTAGACTTTGAGATTGAAGAGTCTCATTTATTGCTTGAAAAGGTAAACAGAGCTGCTTGTGAACACTTGATTATAGAGGCTAGAGCAGTAAACTAAAAAAAAAAAAGTAAAACAAAACTTAAAAATTACTTACTTCACTTGTCTGGAGAAGTGTAAACTTTGGTAGTTTAGTCTTTGAAATGGTTGTACTGGGTTTTCCATCCAAGAGGGATCCAAATGACAGATTTCCAAAGCTATTATCAAATTTAATAGAAGGTTTCAGTGATGGAGAGATGTCTGGTGTCTGGTCCTGGCCATCCATGGGTCTGACATATGCAGTTGATTTTTGTTGCCCCATGCTTGTTTTGCAGTAAAGCCCTGGTGGGAAGTTTTGAACTGAAAGGCCACTGCTGAGAGCCAATAAAGAGGATGCAACTAAAGGAGACCCAGGTGCTTGCACTGAAAATTTAGATTCTTCTGGTGAGTTGGATTGAAATATTTCTTTGAATGTATCACCTGCACTGCATTTGAGACTACTGTCTTCCTTTGCTGATGGGTTTGACTCTTCAACTGTTCCAACTTGAGGCTGTTCAGCTGGGTCAACAAAGAAGTCTTCCATTCTAGCTTGGGGCTGGTCCTGTGAAGATGGCTGCATCTTGTTTGACTGACTACCTGCCTGGGTTGCCAGTAGAATGCTAGTGTTATGACTACCTCGTGGCCAGTCAGGGTTTGATTTCCTGTTGTGTATTAGAGTTGAGTTCAGTATCACAACAGAAGGTGGAGGCATTGGTGCTGGGGGGTGAGTGTTATCCTGGTAAGGTGGAATCATTTGGTTCTTTTGTTCTGGGAAAATACTTGGTCTGTTTTTGTTGATGGAAGCCTGGGGCACAGAATTCTTTGGGATTCCCACTAAATGATTCTGATTAGAATGGTTAGTTAACAAATCCTTCATTTCATCATAGTTTCCCAGTGTGTTCTGAATTCGGTTGGCAAGTGCATCACCTTTGTTTGTCTAAAATAACAAAAAGATGGGGGTGGGAGGAGAGAGAATGAATAGGTTTGTGTTTCCTAATGTTTATGTTTCAAACATGTTCTAAGTAGGCTAGCATATAGGGTTCTCTGAATTCTTATGCTGCTATAGAATTTCACACTTTTCATGTGCTATCTAAGAAAAAAATCAATAATGCTATTGAAATAGCCTCTTGGAATGAGATGGTTGGTTAAAGTTTGTATACTCCTGGCCTGTCCTTAAAAATGCTCATTGGGAGAAGGTATTAAATCACTTCATTTATGAATTTTATTAGTCAAATAACTAACTTTAAGTCAGATGAGCTGAACTGTTATATTCTATGTTGTGATTCACAACTTCTGCTTACTGATCATTGGAATTATAAAGGATCATTTGACTTGTAGATGTTCTTGGCATGTTAGCCCTTTGCATTACATTATACCATGACAGAGGCTTAGCTCGTTAGATAAGAAAGTCAGTTAAACTATAGTATCATAAATATTTTCAGTTTAGAAAAGGCATGGGATTAAGTAACAGCTAACTGAGCTAATTTATGACTAAAGCAAACCTAATCCCTTTTAATCAAAGAAATATAAATTACTGGTGTCTACTACATATTCTGGGGACAATAGTGTTTACATATTGATGATTCATACTTGTTTATTCTGAAATGGTAGCTAAGGAAAATCAACAGTGACTCAAGATTTCCTTTGTCTTTTCAATTATTTAGAAAATTTATTCAAGGATTTAGCCTTGACTGGTGTGGCTCAGTGGACTGAGTGCTGGCTTGCAAACCAGGGTCACTGGTTCAGTTCCCAGTCAGGGTACATGCCTGGGTTGCAGGCCAGGTCCCCAGTAGGGGGTGTGCAAGAGGCAACTGCACATTGATGTTTCTCTCCCTCTCTCTGTCCTACCCTTCCCCTCTCTATAAAAAATAAATAAATAAATAAATATTTTTAAAGGAATTTTAACTGTTGTTTAAGTAAATCAAAAATCAGATTTCCAAAGCAATGTTGGCAACTGAATCATTCTATGGAGAGCCAACATACTAGCTCTACTATTCCCTATAACATATACCAATCTTATTTAAATGGCTGTGATCATTTTAAAAATAGCTAACTTTCTACATATTTTTTCTAATATAGAAAGCACAGCCTTTTATAACTAACATTGGCAGGGAGTTATATACTTGGAAATTACTGATGAAAGCTCAGTTTTTCAACTTCAAAAGTGAGTTTTTTACTCTCTTTACCTGCTTAAGATATTATCAAAATAAGATGTTGAATTCAGAAGGGCAAAATACTTCTTAGTGCCTAGGCTATACTCTTCTGGCCCAAGATGTTGGAATAAAACAAGGTTACTGTCACTCATGAAGGCATGTGGCAGTAGGGCAACTGGATAGAGAAGACACCCACCATATGTAACCTTTATATTCTGGAAACCAAAAGCTTGTTTTCCATGCACAGGAGTGAGTAACCACCTCCCCACTGGTACAGACTCTACTGAAGGTAGATGTTTAACATCTAAGATTTCTCACATGCCTTTACCACAGCCCAGTATCCTAGTGTACACAGAGAGTATGCTGATCTGAAATTTAGTCTAAACCTAGGTTGTATGATTGTGTGCTGTTTTTTGTATGTGAAGATGGGAGAATATGGAAATGAATGGAGAGTGAAGTGCCAAAAACAGATTAAATCACCCAGGGAAAAATGTAGAATGGGAAGATTAATGAGAACCCTGGAAAATATCAACCTTTGACTAAGAGAAGGAGAGGAGCCAGAATAAGATACCAGGTAAGAACAACCAGAGAGGGATTCAAACTGGAAACTTTGGGTTCATTATTAGCATGATCTCCATATATTGTATATAGTATTCAACTCGTACCATGTGTTAAATCATAGAAGAAACTTTCAAAAAATTAGGGCAGTTTAGAAAATATGATTTTAAAGATTAAGGGAAATTATGCTAAATATATGCTAAGAGAGGTCTGTCAGGAATGGGGGATTTTGGAAATCAATATACATATATCAATTTAGTTTTCTTACCCTCAAGAACATGTTATACTGTATTACATATAAACTTGGTGCTGAAGTAGTGATTAAACAATTAACATTTCATATAATCCTCCACAGAATGAATGTTCCATTTTCAGAAATATATTTGAAAGACATATTTAATAGAGATGGGTAGAGATTACTTTTATTCTCTAAAGGCCCTGAATTTATCCAACTTAATGGCAGCAATTACTTTTCAGCTAAGGCAAAGATAAACCCTCTGTCTCCTCTTCACGCAAGTTGGACAATGAACAATTTGGGCAGCAACCAAAACCAGTCTCTCTATTCAATCCCTAAACTCAGACAAAGATATTTCATTGAGCTGAGGGCCCCATAAGAATTTAATGCGAGGCGTTGTTGTACTGGTCCCTCAAACTGTTTACTTCTAGGGTTAAAGATTGCCTGAAGAACACTAATACCTTGCTAGCTTCAAGGATCTTACACAACAAAGAGAAAAAACACTTCATTCCCATTTTAAATGCCTTCATTTTACATTGTCTCATTCATTGAGTTAGGACATGCTTCCTTCCATCAAAGAAAATTCTATAGCCTATGAACTTTTCCTTATTGCCATAACTACCAGGATGTTCAAAGTTAAATTTATTGAACTTTTATTGAAACTTCACTTGTATTTCATTTAAAATTAATTGAACTTTCATTAAAACAGAGTTCTGTGGGATCAAAACCATGTCCCATGATGTCACAAAGACCACCACAATACCTCAAAGCCCTGAGAAGTAATTTTCTGTCTCTAGGCCAGCCACATCAGGAGTCACATTCCTGGTCCTGTTCAGCAGTAAATAAAAGGAACAGGCTCATCTTTACTTCAATGGAGGAAACGTTGGTTGTGTTTTATTGTCTCTTCATTTATGTCTACAGTTATAAAGATCTGGAATTGTGTTACATGCTTAGGTATCTTTTCCATCTCTAGGTTTTAACATATGCTTGAAATTAGGAGAAGTAATAAATTAGTCAATGTATAAAACTCTGTCTATATGAATAAAATTGGAGGAAAATTGAAAGCTTTCTAAATAAGTCTAGAAAATCTACCTCCTATTACATAAACAGTTATGATTTCTTTTCCTGCACAAAAGTATAAAGTTTTCAAAATAAGAGACCACCTTTTATTTGTTCTTCTATTTTTAAGACTTAGCAATATGTCTAGTGCATATAGACACTCAATAAATTGTTGCTGAAATAAACAGGATCAAATTATAATTCATACATTGTCTATATCAAAATAATGTATTTTGGGTAAAAGCTACATAAATAGAAAAGCAAAAGAGGAGCTAAGTTGGCTACTGTGATTGAACATGAAATTGAATTGCGAGCTTCTTTGTAGCTAAGGCAATAAGGAAAAGCTCATAGCTTATAGAATAATTTTTGTCAGAAGGAGAGAAGCTTACCTTAATTCATTAAATAAAACAAATGATTGCCAGGTACTAAAATATGAAAAGAAATTCCTCTCATTGGATTAAATTCAGCCACAACATTTTTGAACAGTAAAATAGTCTTTAGTACCACTTTTACAGAAAATGCAAAGATGACCTCATGTGGCTTTTCCTTCCAATGACTAAAAAGAAAGATCATTGTATGAAATAAAGAACAGACAGTAACCAAAGGGGAGTGAGGAGGGAGATAATGGGGGGAAAGGGGGAAGGGTTATTAAGGAACATATGTAAATGACTCATGGACAAAGTCAAAGGGGGGAAGGATAGCGGGTGAGATGTGGGGGTGGGTAGGGTGTGGGAAAGTGGTGGTGGGGAAATGGAGACAACTTTTTTCAAACAGCTATAAAAAGAACAAATGAAAAATGAAAAAATAAAACACTGTGCCCCCCAAAATAAAAAATAAAATCCAACTCAGAGAAGGCAAGTCTGCACGTGGAGTTACGAGACTAGACTAATATCTCCAACTGTGAGGCTTTCCTGTGCACTAATGGTATAAGAATGGAGCTGGGGCAACCTGAAGGAATGGAGGGATGTCAGCTCCCTTAGACTAACTTCCTTAGAGAGGAATTGTCTCAGAGAGAATTGTAACCAGAAAGACAGTTCAAGATTGAATTCTTTGGCAACACTTTCTGTGTTGCTGATTGAAGGAAGATCCATATGATTTGTATAACAGACATGCTGTGGCTACAAGTAGGAATTACTGTGGTCATTTTTAAGACATATACTGGTAAGCTGAAAACACTCATGAGACAGAGATAGACATGGAGGGCACACAGACACATAGCCTCAGAAGTCCATCATTATCAATCTCCAATAATTAATAGTACAGTCCACATGGACAGAGTGAAGTCTCTGCCTCTCCATCATTGGAGGTGGGTAACTGACAACCACTTTTTAAATTTCTCATGATGCTTATATGCTATTCACTGGATAGAAAACTCAGCGAGGCCTGAAATACGTTTATGTACACCTACACAATGTACTTTCATTATACACAATAGCAATTTGTTTTTCACCCTACAGAGTTTTAGCAATCCTATTAAGAACAAGATATTCTGGGCAGTATTGATTCAACATTATAAAACTGGAAACAAATGAAATCTGGTCAATTTAATAATTATAGGTTTCTTTCAATTTGGCCAATTCTTTACTTCCCATTCTAGTTAATTGGTTGATTCTTTAAAGGTAACCTCTCCAGCCATTACTTTCTGGGTAACCACAATTTCTCCATTATCAAGGAAATGCATTTTCCAAGTATTTTCAGGAATGAATTACATGTCTGGTTTGTGGCTCATGACTAACAGCACTCCTTCATTTAAGCTTTTTGCCTCTCATTACTTTAGGAAATGCAAAGTTGCCTCAGTTTGCTTCTAATGTTATCTACCAATCAGTAGTATAATTTCATTGCAGAACTAATGTGCTAGAAGGTAATTGTACCATAGTATTTCTTTTTAATAAAGATAACTAAATAACTTAAGTTTTGAGGTTCATTTCTTCCTTTTATTTCATTTTAGCTAATGTATGTGATTTAGTAATACATTTTTTTCTAATTCTAATATTTTTCAATTAATGTCTCTAAGCAGTAAATAGCTATTTCTTTAATGATAATAACTTGAATTTGTCCAGTACTTTATAGATTTCAGGGCATAGTTTCCCAGGTTGTTTGCCTTGATCTTTACAACCATGAGAGTCAGTGAAGCAGCTGTATTCTCAATCTGGCTTCTAATTGTTCCAATACAAATGGCCTAAGATAATCCACTTAACTTCTCTGTGCCCCAGTCCTTGTTTTCTTATTCTTATTGAGCTGTGAAGAGCTATAAATGTTAGTTGTTATTGTTATCAGGTTTTATTCACTTCAGAGGAGAGGAAACTATAGGTCAGAGAAATGAAGTCACATAGGAGGTAAGCTTCTTCTAACTTCCTTTCAGAGTATATGAACAGCTTCCTGTTACAGATACAGAATCTAACAGAACTGGGTCTATTTACCACTTATATGGATATATAAGGTTCAGAGAAGCTACTCACCTCTCTTAGTCTCAAATTCCTCATGGAAAACATGGGGAAGATGCCTACTCCAGTTGTTTAAAAAACTAAACACACACATATATAAAGCCCCAGCACAGTACCTGGCAAACAGTGCACACTTGGTATATTCTAGTTTCTTATCTCTCTCAATATTTTCATACTAATCTAGACATGTCAAACTTTTCAATCACTTTTAAAGACATCCCTCTCCACAGCATAGCACAAACTAACTCAAATTTGAAAGACATAAGCAACAAAAGCAGCCACACACAGAGATTACCTACCTATCAAATCTAGGTGTGGTTGATATTCTTACCATTCTGGGAGTGGTATAGATGAGGCAAAGAAAGGAAAGAGATCAGCCAAGAATATGAGAAATCACTGTTTCTTCTTTCTGCCTAGAAGGGGCAGTCAGTCCTAGGGACTGATGTTCATTGGCTAGTTTATTATCACTGACACTGTTGGACAAGTGATCAAGCAATGTTTTAGGGTTTATGGTGGCAAAAAGTTTCCTGAAAGTCCTGGTCCATCACCAGGGATTTTAATTTTTTTTTTAATTTGATAAGCATTCCCACTCAAAAAGAGATGTGGTATGCCTTCATCTCTACCAGTAGCTCATGGGCTAGCTCTAGAATTCCCATTGCCAATAACATATCAAGCTACTCCAGGGATGTCCACACCAGTCAAGTTATGGGGAGTTTTTGGAGGTTCACATCAGTTTTAGTATCCTAATATGGGGAAAAGGACAGACCTATGCTCCAGTGATCACCTAGAGAACTCTGAACATGGACATAGTGTAAAATGGCAGCTAATCATAAAAGTAATGGTGAAAGAAAATTACTAGGTCATCAACTGTTAACATTATTCTTTTCCTTCACAGTCTTTATCAAAAACAGAGGCTCTTCTTCATCAAGAAGCATAAAGGTAATAGGCTGCTAATCACATAATAGGCCTAGCCCTGTACTAGACTAATGTTCCTGTCAGTGTCTCTATCTAATATGCCTTTGACATATCAAGATGGCTTTTTAAAACTTCTAACAATGTTGATAACATATTTTTAATTGCCTTACATCTAAAATAACACTTACATCTAAAAATAAATGTGTATACATATATAAAATAGTCCTTATAAACAAAAGATGATGTTTAACTTAAAGGTATAAGACCACTAATTGAAAAGGACTTGAACTTACAAAAGGGGAATAAACCAAGGATGCTACACCTCATAAGAGTGTTGAATACAGAGTATTGAATTTTAAGGATGCACATTTTGTGTAAAGTTCATTTTTTAACCTATCCAAATATAATTTGTAAAACTTATGTGGTTTTTTTCTTTTCTCAAGAAAGGATGAGGCATCTATCATCCTTTTATCTCTCTTCCATTGCCTGTAAAAAATGTAAGCCACAACTGCTTGTCCTGAACCCAATCTTCCTTCCACTCTCTTGCTTTGTTCTCAATCTAATATTCCATTCCCATCTTTATTCCCATAGCTCACATGTTCTTGATTTTGTGTTTTCTCATCACCTCTGGAATCTTATTTTATTTATCCTCATCTCACCATCTTGTATGTTCTTCACCCTCTCCATCTCCAATGACATCAGTTTCTTCCCATCAATCTTTGAACACATTCAAGTTTCTTTCACTTTAAAAAAGCCTTTCTTCCATATAATTTCTCTGTTTGCATTCTAACTGGATTCTTTAATGTCTCCCTCAATACAAAATCTCTCTGAAAGACCTTTTCTACTTTTACTGCCTCTCTTTCTTTATTTTACTACTTCCTATTTACTCTCCAACCTCTCACAATTTGGCTTCCCACAATGACCACAACCATCAACAAATAAAACAACTCTCCCTAAGGTCAATAATTAATTCTAATTTGCAAAACCCAACAGCCATTTTCCAGTCCTTACCTTTCCTGACTTCTCTAACATATGTAACCAGCAAATCCTTCCTCTATAAATCCCTTATTTGGTTCTATTAAATGATTCTCTCCTAGTTCCCTTCCTACCTCTTTGATCATTTACTCCCTTTTAGTTCCTTTCATGGACTCAGCTTTTACCAGCTATTTTACCCCTAAAATATTTTACTCCCAGAGATTTTTTCTTTGTCCTTACTCAGTAATCTTACTCAGTGATATTCATTCTCACAGCTTCAATTGCCACCTATAAGATAACATCTAGCTCTCTCTCTTGGCAACTCTCATTAGCTCCAGATACACATATCCAATGCCTAGAGGATATGTCTCCTTTAATATCCAACTGGTATCTCAAAACCAACACACTCAAGATATTATTATTTTTCCTACAAGTATTAACCCTGTTGTCCTCCTGAACAACCTATTAGTACCACCATCCTCTCAAGTCAGATGGAAATAATTCCTATATCACTCTCCCCACATCCAGACACTAGGCTCACCATTGCAACTGCCTTACTCTACCTTAAATCCTGTTTGCCATGAACTCCCCTTAGCAAACTATAATAGCTTCTTTATCTGCCTCTAGTTTGCCTTCCCTCCAATCCATTCTCCACATTTTCAACATTATCTTTTATAATTCTAAGTTCTGGTCATGTCCTGACTTGAAAACTCGTAATAATTTCTCTCCATGAAGAGAATCATATCCAAACTCCTTCAAATGGGGTGCCATGTCTTCACTAAACCTTACCCTATCTCTCTAGCAGATGTTGTGCAGTCAGGCACTCACTCATTCATTATGATTTCTGCCACTATACAAGAAATTCCTTGAAGTCAGGAACTATGCCATATTTCCCTTTGTAACTAGTCTAAGACATGACTTGCAAATAATGGGCCTTCAATAAATGCTTGTTAAACTAATCATATGTCTAAATATGCACATTCAAAATTAGTATAAAAATTAAATCAATTGATAGAAAAATCATTTTCAAATAATATCATTACCTACAAATTAAAACTAGTACTTTAAGTGACTTAAGTCTCTTTGTCAGAGGTAAGTAAACTTGGAAGACACTTGAGGGTTTTGATCAAGAGTTGCTTATTTATTCTAATCAAGGCAGTAAGAGTCTAGTTTCACTAGTCATAAATCCAAACAGCATACTCTCTACCTAATAGTAGTATTTGTACCCATGCAATCCTTATTAAGAAGTTTCATTTTCAAGAAGTCACTGTTCTATCAATGGTGCTCTTCTAAAATCAGAACACATAAAAATTCTCTATTTTTGTTTCACCTCTTACATAATTGTTGTTTTATTATAGAAAATTACACTGCTGTGAAATTTCAATAAAAACCAACCAGCTTCCAGCAGTTTGAAAAGATTCTCTCACCAAACTCCACTCCAAATGGAAATTTCAGAGCCAGTTATCGTCAAATCAATACTTAAACATAAAATTATGATAGTTATTGGAGCTACACACTAGTTAGAATACCACTAGAAAATCAGCCTAGCTACACTACCCAGTCTGATTGAAGCAGTCTCCAAAACCATGATTATTAATAAAAAAAATGAACAGATGCTAAAAACCTAAAATGGAAAAGGAATTCAGTAGCCTTGCAATGGATGGCACTCACAGGGAAGACAAATAGACATGTATATTGACATTCCAAAAAGTTTTCAGGGGCTGCCTTGCTGATATTCAAAGTGGGAGAAAGTATCATGAGAGCATTCCTTGCTGTAGAAAGTGTTAGGCAATAAAGAACTCTTTGGAGACAGAAAGTCTCAAAAGTCCCTTTCAAATTTTATTATGCTCACCAAAGAAGATGGCATCTGCCTTTGAAGACTTCCTCATAACCTTGCAATTGCCCCCAAATACAGTACATGTATATAATTCATTTGTAAAATATATTATCCTGAAAATGATTTGAGTGATTTAAATATAGATTAAATGTTGATTAGTGCATTCAAAGATGTAATAAGTAACTATTTTCCAGAAAGATAAATTACATAGATATTCAACTACCTTGTAGGGCTCCCCCAAAAGATCAAAGCCTGAAGAAAAGAGATCATCTTCTTGCTGGACTTCTTGATTTCTCTGCTCCCATTCCCTTATCAATAAGGAGAAAAAGTACAAGTCAAGGCTATCAAATTGATACTGAATTGAGAGCATAATTTTTAGCTAGGGTGACTGAAAGCCTTTTTGGTAAACATTTCACAAAGCATGGAGTCTGACTTGAACAACAAACTTCTGTTAATGAAAAAAAGTTGTAAAAACCTTAAATAAATTTAACACATAAATGTTTTATAAATACGAGTATCTCTGTGAGGCTGACTAATCACATTTCAGGTTTGCCCATTGGAGGATCAGTAGAAAAGCTTTTAGACAATGACTAAGATATATTCTGGGGCTTTGGATATTATAGAACAAAAATGCTTCTTTATTTATTTTTAAAGACTTTATTTATTTATTTTTAGAGAGGGAGGAAGGGAGGAAGAAAGAGAAGGAGAGAAATATCAGTGTAAGAGAGAATCATCAACCAGCTGGCCCCTGCACATACTCTGACCAAACCCACAAGATGGGCAAGTGCCCTGACTGGGAATTGAACTGGTAACCTTTTGTCTTGTGGGATGATGTTCCAAGCAACTGAGTCTCACCAGCTCAGTGAGTACATATATGTTGCACAAATTTGAATTATATGACTTATGTAAAATGCTTAGTAGGTGCTAGATAAATGTTGCTTTTCTTCTTCATGTTAATATTTTCATGTTAAGACTTAATTAGACAATTGGCATATAAATGAACTTAATAGCTAAAGAAAGTACAAGAGTTACACTGATATAAATGTGCAGTTGACAGGTTTAGAATGCAGCTGAAGTCTTAATGCCCATCAGTGGCAGCCTAGTTTGCTTATGAGTACCATGCATTTAATTTACAAAATAGGAGCCCAGGAGTGTGAAATATCAATGGGAACTTATCTAGATATTGATACACATGGAGAGTAAGCTGTCACTATGCTTAATCAAACACCTTTCTCCACAGGAATCCTTGAACTGACAAGTTCAAAGTGACTTTGACAGTCTTATCCTCTGGATAAACAACACTTCATTTCTTGATTTGAAAAATAGTGGCAACACTTATAGGATATTTAAACATACAGTATGCTTTCATAATATGAACAGTGTCAGATACATGAGAGCTCACTGGGTTACTCATGTATATGCTCAACAAATGTTATCATTGTCTGTAAAAACAAAAAAGAACCTCTAGAACTCTACCCAAAGCTGAGGCCCCACATCTGGGTCCTACCTGGTCAAGAAAGATGCCAAGCCCAGATACTGAAAGCCAGTCTACCTATTTTCAGTCTCAAATGATATCCACAGGTATTACATTTGCTAGTATTATCTCTCATTTCCATTCACAAGTTGGGTTCAGAACCTCGAACAGTTGCCATGTATCACAATGTATTTATTAGAGGTTGATGTGGAATCACCCAGGGATAGTAACATCTTCAGTCCAAGAAGTGAGGAGCATGAGATTTGACCTCAGCACCATATATTGAGCATGGGTAACCAAGACCATCATTAATTTGTGAAAATCTAAGGAAGATTGGATGCCAGAGGTTGAGGTGGAGGGAACAAGTTAAAGCAATATTTAGTCATGGTGGGAGGAGGCTTTGTTACAAAAAAGAATGTAAAAATAAGAGCCAAAGTCTCCTGCTTCTGAGAAACGTGAGCAAGATGTCAGTTTCCTACTTATCTGTTCATTTTGTGTACCTAACAGCCCAGAATAAGAGACCCATACCTATAGATCACATTTGATTCTCCCATGAAGAGCACTGAAGTACTTTGGTCTCTTGAATTTGCAAATTACCTCCTTTGAGACATAGATATAATTAAACACTTGAAGGGAAAAAAGGAGAAGAAACAGAAACATGTTTCAACTTATAAGACAACTCATCAAGTGGCCAACAGTCAAGGCGCTTTGCATGCTTTTGACCTGAGGTTGATTTGTTGGAGGCACTTGGCTGCATTTTGCATTAGTTCATTAGCTACCAAAATCCAGATGAAAATCTGAAGAGCAGACTGAGTGTGCATCTGGGTGTTATCTGTTGCAAGAAAACTGCCTATTACATTTTAAAACACATAAAACAAAGAATAGTGAATTCTCATATCTCTGAGGAGAATGATTTAACCTCTAGAAAGTTCTACTGCTCTTGGAAGGCAAAAAATCTGTCCAACTTTTTTCTTTTTCACTCAGCATGGCATTGTATTGAAAGTGTCACAGAGCAAGGTATAACAAAGAATAAACTACATGTGGCTTTCATAGTGTATAGAACATTACTGATTTATGACTGAAACCAAAATTACTAATTTGAAGCACCAGCTAATTAAAATCACAGCTAGGTATTTACCCTCCCATTATATCTATGGCTGTTTATAATTATGATGACATTTTTATCTACGAAATCAAAGTTCTTATGATTCAGGCAGATTGTGTTTGAATCTGTGAGTCCTTCAGAGGCCAAAGGAAAGCACATGTCTATCACCTAATGATCTGATGTACCTTCACACTCCCAAGCTTGTTTTCCAAAGGAACAAAAGACTCCAACAACCCATGAAGAAATGCTCAAGCCAGAAATATGAATTAATCATCATGCTACTTGTCTAAATAATTCTAGTTTATTCACATTGATGAGAACAGGGTGAATTGGTCCTATCAGTGTGAAAACTCATTTTCATATTGGGAAGTTGAGCCAAAAAGCTCAACTCAAGGACTCTCCACTCTTAGCAAGTTAAGATGTTCTTTCAATATGTTTCTCCCAGATATAATGAACTTTGTCACATTGTGGTGATATAAAAATCACTGAACAGTCAAAACTCAATTTATTCCTAATTAACCAAAGATCTTTGGCTTTTCTCTCTCCAGCTTATATTTATGGAATCCCTGCTTCACTGACATATGCCCTAGCTGACAAGAAAAGGACAGAAAGAAGCAAAAATTCAATTTAACTACAGACATACATCAGAGATACTATGGGATTGATTCTAAAGCACAGCAATAAAGTATCTATTAAAAATTATTATATTTTCCCATTACTATTTAATCCCCTTATATCCCACTCCCCGCTGCAGTCACCACACTGTTGTCCATGTCCATGAGTCCTTTTTCCTTTTTGATCAACCCCTCCACCCCATAACTACCCAGTAGCTGTTATCCTGCTCTCCATCTATGAATCTGTCCCCATTTTCCTTGTTCATTAGATTCCACATATGGTATTTGTCTTTCTCTGAGTAGCTTATTTCACTTAGCATAATGTTCTCCAGATCCATCCATACTGTTGCAAAGGGTAAATTTTCTTCTTTTTATGGCTGAGTAGTATTCCATTGTGTAAATGTCTCATAGTTGTTTTATGCACTCATCTACTGAGGGACATTTGGGCTGCTTCCATATCTTCGTGATTGTAAAAAATGCTGCAGTGGACATAGGGATGCTTATGATCTTTTGAATTAGTGTTTTATGTTTCTCCAGTATATTCCCAGAAGTGAGAACACTGGGTAAAAAGACAGATCCATTTTATTTTTTTTTTGAGGTATCTCCTTAGTGCTTTCCACAGTGGTTGCACCAGTCTGCATTCCCGCTAACAGTGGGAAAGGGTTCCCTTTTCTCTGCATCCTCACCAGCACTTGTTGTTTGTTGATTTATTTATGATAACCATTCTGATGGGTGTGAGATGGTATCTCATTGTAGTTTTAATTTGCATCTCTCTGATTATTAGTGATGTTGAGCATCTTCTCATGTTTATTGATCGTCCATATGTCCTCTTTGGAGAAGTGTCTATAAAGTATCTTTATAAAGTGAATTGTAATCTTTTTTTTCTGGTGGAAAGTCTCCTTTCATTTGGAAAAAAACAAATGCAATATCTGTAATGCACAATAAAATGAAGCACAATAAAACAAGGTATGTTCGAACTCTGCTATTTCAATGTAATGCATGATGGTGAGAAGTTTCTCTCTAGAATGGGGCTTTTATATTAGATCTGATTTTACCCACCTGTCTGTCCTTGACCTCCAATAACAGAGAAAATGCTCTTGTTAACACAGAAGGAAACTAAGGCCCTCCTGAAATGAGGGGAGCTGTCCAAAGCCTTCATCAAGGTAATGACAAAAGAAGAAAGGGACCCATGCCTCTTCCATCATCAAATTCAAGTGATTTCTTCCTATCTTCTCCTTTTCTCAGATACTTTCCTCTTCTTTACCTTAAACCTGATCTTGGACACAGGCAACCCCCATTTTCATCATTATAAGTCACAGGTGCATTTAGCGAGGACACATGTAGATTCACTGAGATTGAAAAGGTTCAATTATGCCATCTTCATTACCTCACAGTGGTAGCACCCTCAGACTGACAATGCAGGATAGTCTCTTAAAACAGAGACTGTTGGAACAGGAAGAGAGTTTAGCAACCATCTAGTTCTGAAACATAATTTTATAAATGAGAAAACTAAAATGAGAAAGGTAATGGGCCTCACAGCAGGTATGACAGAACTAGGAGGCAGGATCCTAGGTCTTCCAATTCCCAAACTGTTTCTCTTCCTACTACCCCATTCTTTGTCCTTTCTGCTTCCCAGGTTTCCATCACACTCAAAAATAAATATTTGTTTCATTTACACTCTGTTGGTTAACTTTCCTTAGGATTATATTTTATTAGAGATCACCAGTAGGGAGAAACTTTGGGAATTTAATTTGAATTCCAATATAGAAAACCCATTAGTTTCTTTTCATCAAAATGTACAGACCCTAAAGGGATAGTAAAAATCAACTACTTTTGTGGGGAAAAGCTGAGTGAGAGAGCCTACAAATCAGTTTAAATTTATCTGGTTTGTATATATCATGAAGTTTAATAATCATTGTTTACTTAATTAGGTCATTTTAGAAACTAATTGAAGAAAGATTAAAAAACACTGACATTTTAAAATGACAAGTTTGTTCAAAAATACTGTTAACTAATATAGATTTACTGTAGTAGTGATATACATGAAGGCACATAATTCAATCTCACTGGTTTCTATATCCAACTGGCACTAAAATACCTTCATTTTGGCTATCT